CCGAAAATATTGGCCCGGCTTTCATCAATCGGGCTTTTCATCGACTCGGCTCGGTCCGGAACGGGCTTTGAACCGAGCCGCGGCATCACTATCGCCTGGGTCTCTGTTCAGGTTTCTCGTGGCTGTGCCGTTCGAGTCAGCGCGCTGACCATTGAGTGCGCCGGGCGCTCTCGGCGGCTATATCGCGCACTGTGGCCGGCTCAACGTGGCCCGCGCCTCCGTTGATCACCACAATCAAATTCCTCGCTACGTGGATGACAACAACAACGGCGCCCAAGGCGACGATCTTGAACGGCGAGACTACCATCGAGCTCTCACCGCGATACGTACGAGTCTTGTCTCACTGTACCCTGTCTCGTCTCGCCGCGGCATACGAATATGAACATATGTTTATTTGCTCAAAATAGGGACCCAGAACAGAGGTAATTATTATGGCAAAGCCAAAAAAACAAGCGATAGCTGCGCCTCGCTTCGCTGGGGCGCAGTCGTCGCACGGTGTACGAACAACGGCCACAAGACTCCTCGAGCAAATATATGCACCGCCTTCCATATCGGTGTGAACGTCCGGAAGGCGGAAACGCGAAAGAACTCATGGAGAAGATGTTGAGGAGACCTTGGCGACGCGGTCTGAATCGCACCGCGATTGCCGCCCGTGCAAGGATGTCAGCAGTGCGCGCTCAGCGGAAAACGGCGGCGCGGCGGGTCTTGGTTGGGCTGCGCGCAGCACAGAGACGAGACTGCAGGCTTGGAAGGTTGGAGACCGACCGTTCATCGCGGACATTGCGCTAGCAGACTGCAGCCGTGCTCGACGACGGCGTCAAGCATATCGTCACTACCGATCTCTCACTGACAGCCGACAGCGACGATGAGATGCTCAATTGACAAGCGACGTCCGAAATATCTGTGATGCGTCGCGGACGCTGCGGACGTCGGGTTTCGGCACGGGTATGCATGGGCGCACCACTGTGACACCGTCGGCAGTGGCGAACTGCGGGATGGGCCGGAGCCGGGTAAGGATGGCGCGGTGGCGGTCAAGTCAAGTCCAGCTGTCAGAGTGGAGATGGCATGACGGCGCGAATCGAACGACGAGCGCTCGCGGGCGGTCCCGGAGACGCAGAGGTCGGTGTGGTCGGACGACAAACTGAACTGACCACACATGTCTTGTACGATCGTGCTTGGTACGACGCCCGTGAACCGATCGAGAGGAGGTCTGGCTGAGCTCGAAATCGCTCACGTACGATGTACGTGTTCCGGAGAGGTGCCTCAGAACAACACACCTACGGGCACACGCTTGCCGCGGTTCGCCGCGGGTGGCATCGCTGTACTACATAGACTGAAGTTCTCTTTCAAAGAGCATCTGCAAATCGGGATATCTTTGGTCGAGCCGAGAGACAACCGGGCGTGGGTTATCTTGATACTACCCCACGATGCTCGCAGCTTGGCCTGTCAGGCGATTCAAAGCGCGCAGTCTACCGTCTAGTAGAGGTCGTATCGCCCATCTCCGAGAGATGCAACGTAGAACCTAAGATGATAGCCATGAACAAACCGAGAAGCTGATCTGCAATCTCGACGAGGTCTCCGAGGAGCGCACAAAGTCCAACAAGAAGATATCCGAACCTCAAAGTACAAAGGCAGCACTGAAAAGGGTAATCGGCAGTGCGCAGCCTTATCGTCGTGTGCAAGCAGAAGATGGCCGCCTGTGCTGCGATCGGAACGATGCACGGACAAGAGCGCTGCAGGCTCGAGCTGAGAAACACAGCTTGGTCGATGAAGGACGAGGGGGCCAGTCAATTCTTGCAACACGACAGAACAGAACAGAGCAGACGACAGGATCGAGCAGACCGGCTCACATCTGTAATGTGCCTGTCGGCTACTGGTGATGGCGCTGATCCCGGAGCCCACTTCCGACGCCTCGTGCTCGCACCACAGTGGGCCAGCAAGTCTCTCTCAACGCTGCACCGAAGGATGTGGTACCAGTCTGGCTCAACGCGGGCGACACCTGTACGAGGGCGCAGTACGGGTCTCTGAGCGACGTCCGGCGAATGCGCACACAGTTGTAAAGACGCTATGGTTCATGTACTGTAGATACAAAGACTGCAGTAGTATCTATTATTGAGCACGACTCAAGGGTCCAATGAAATTGAAGACGAATAAGCGGTAAGCCCTTCGTCGTTCCTTCAGAAAAGCGACAGTCTCGGGTTTACTGATAGGTCGCGCCTGGGGCTAGTGAGCCGCAGCGTATTCGCCTGCCTCAATAGCTGCTCGTACACCGTGGAGAGCTGCCTCAACGGTGTCGTCCAGGCGCAAGCCCTTGGTGGGGGATGGCGAACCGCTTTCGGACTTGCTTGTCCTCGCACGATGCGGAAGTGGGCTCCGGGATCAGCACCATCACCAGTAGCCGACAGGCACATTGCAGATGTGAGCCGGTCTGCTCGATTCTGTCGTCTGCTCTGTTCTGTTCTGTCGTGTCGCAAGAATTGACTGGCCCCGAGAACAAGAAGAACGAGCGGAAGAACACACGGCTCATCCGACTACCCCATCTGCAGCAAGATCGCCGCGATGAGAAGGCATACCATGGCACACGGCACAGCTCACCGCCGCATCACGTAGCCGTACACGATTACGCTTGAACCCCATCCCATGCGAACTTCGCTAAGTTCGAAGTCAATTATCTTTGCCGGAGTTGATTGTCGCCGGGAGTACAAGCACAAAAAGACTTGACATGGAAGGGTGGGTTCGAATTGTCATTGTTCATGAGCAAAGTCGTTTCGGCCGGTCATGAGGGGTAGCGGAGACACACGATCGAGCGTTGGGAAGAGGGCACATCAGATCTGCGTTGAAGGTGGAGTGTGCGTCTGGGAATGGAGGAAGGTTCGAATGGATCCGCATGCGAAAGCCTGCGACGCGAGTAGCTAGCGTACTGGGACTGTAACGATGGGTCCGTGCTGCATGATGATGCTTGATCTCGTATGATCGACTTGTTGACGGTAGTGGAAAGAACGGTGAACAAAGCGAGCAACAGGTATATATTCATGAAGATCGGAAATAGGGCGTACAGACTTCTGGAAGCTACGGACGTCTACTTGACCACCGGATTCACGCCTCTTGCGGCCAGGTACTCCCTCGCCGCACTCGCGGGCTTGTGTACGCGTGTCAGAACAACACAAAAGGAACGGACGTACATGACTGACCAGGCTCTTGATGAACTCGTACACGCTCTTGTCATGGTACCGAAGGCCAGTCGCAGGATCGGTATACGGTGCCTACGATAGTCAATCCATTGTCATGAGTATATCTCGTACGATGCATGGAAGCCAGTCCAATTTACCTCAAGACCAGTAATATCGCAGTAATGGCGTGCTGGGATGAGCGAGGGCGGGGCTTCTATTGACAGGTCTGCATGCGGTACAATACCTTAAGTCAGAAGGGAACCTTTCGACGAGGGAAACCTGATGCGCTCACAGTTCAACGGGTCGGGATCTGGCTCATCGCCGTCGACGGCCATCCGTTCGGCAGCTGCACGGGCGCGTTCACGCTCCTGTGCTAATACTGCCTTGACATTCTTAGCACGGCGACCGTTATTCTTAGTATACGCGGGGTTCTTGAATGGCCGGGGCGCCTGTGCGTAAGACAGCTTCTCGCCGAGGGACTGTCGGAACGAAGAGCAAGGCAATGAGCGGAATAGCGGTGGCGGCGAGTGGCGGACTCGGACGCACTGGAGGCAGTGGCGTACCCTCAGCTGTAGATGTAGCCTTCTTGAGTTTGGAGCCTTTGGGTGGCCTACACACCCATGAGCATAGGCTTGGACAAGTTACATGACATTATGGACGAACATGACGGCCTCGTTCAAGACGCGACTTGGTGCGCGTTCGACGGAACACGAGGCGGCGAATCCGTTCTCACCGGCTGCCTTGTTTCGTCCACAACCTCCATCACATCGCTCGTTCATCGGAGTGATCCAGTTTTCTACGTACCATCTTAGCTACACAGGCTACATCAGACGCATCTACACGATGTGTAGAGGAAGAATGCTAGCCAAATGGGCCATGCATACAATACATTCGTAGAGTGTGCCTCGACAATTGCCAGCGCTCAATTTCCTGCGTACACAAAAGACGTGTGAGGGCGCACGCGACGGGCCCGTTTCTCCCGACCCTCTTCCGTTCCACGTACTGATGCCGAACTGGCTGGCCCGCTGGCTGAGACAATAGCAGTAGGGCGGCTATACGGGGTATATCTTGGACCGTTCCTGCATCTTTGCCTCCAATCCACCTTGGACCCCTAGACGGAGCCCTGTGTCGCTGGTAGAGTCGGGTCTCCCGTTCTATATATCTTGCTCTCCTGCGTCGGCCTACGCCGCGCGTTGTAACTCTAGTCTTTCTTCACACGCTTTCTGGATTTGCCTTGTTCCTCTTTGGGCGTACCGGCCTACGTCCCTCCACGACATCTACGATCTCATCTTCACGCAACGGCATAGCCCCGGACGGCTTTCTTCTTCTGAACGCTCAACGACATCTTTCACATCCTCCCGCATACGCACAGCCTCGTCGATCCCAACACGCACCCCGCACTATCTCAACTGTCTTATTAGCAACACGACCTACCATGGACTCTACTTTCACGATGCCTCCTGCTCCTTCGCCCACCAAGGACTCCACACTCTTCAAGGGCATACCCATCGAAGCGCGCGTTACGCGCCGCATGTCCGCTCTGCCCCCTCGCACCACTGCACTCGGTCGTTCATCGACGCTCAAGATCAACTCGAGCGCTACACTCGTCGATCCGAACGCTTCGGTGCCGGCGCATATGCTCGTAGGCGTCCCCTCATCGTCTCGGGAAGTACACCCATCTCACGACACACCTCCGCAGACATTCCCAGACGACGAGCGCGCACGCCGCAGGCGCCGGCGGCACTCCGAGCACCCCACGAACGCACCTCCGCGCCGCAGCTCGCCCACCGAGCAACTCCCATCTAAGCGCCCGGACACGGCGGACAGCAGTCTGCCCTCCGGCCCAGCGCCGCAACGCCCTCAACGCCATCCTACGCTGCACCTTCATGACGTGGACGAGATGCTTACGCCTAAAGAGGCGCGTCCGAGGCGGTGGGCTGATACGCCTGGGGCCGCATCTGTCGCGGCGTGGGTAGCGGATCAGCAGGTGCAATCACAGTTCCAGTTTGCGCCTATCCCGCCTACGCCCACTGCGGCTACCTCGAAGCAGAGCGGACTATTGGGGAAGGTGAAGAAGCTCGTCTCCAAGAAGTAGAGAAGGAGTAGCGAAAGCGCACGACTGCCCCGAGTCTCGAAAGACCTCGAGATTGCCCGGCGTCTCATGTCTCGAGCAGGAGGCATGGAATTGGATTGACGTCGCGTTATGCCCACGATCCCACGCTCTCATGTTCGCGTCGCTGTGATGTCTATCGGACCCCGCAGGATCCGACTCTATGTATGCCTGTGCTCAATGCTTTGACGTTCATCTAATTATGCCGCATGCCCCTCCACACCATTCACCTTCCATCACTTGCACTTGCATCCCTGTATACTAGCTAGACCCGACATCCGCCTGTATCTTACCTTTCGTCCGTAACCTGTATCAACATCAAATCTCTTCAAAGGGATTCTCCAAAACAATTGCGCTTTATATTGTGCTGTGTGATCAATATTACGCGTTACCGTCACGTTTATCGGTCACGTTCATCCCACAAACGCGTCTCAGGAACGCGTTGTGCTTAGACCACCATCTCGCGGCCACACTCTCGCGCGTGTCCCCCACGTCAGGCTCATCTCGATCTCATACACTTTCCCGATCTACGCGTATAGTCGCAAGTTGACATCGGTACGCCCACTTATGGCTTAACATTGTCTCAAACATATCCCCGCGCAATGTGGACTTCAACTTGGCCGCAAGCTGACAATGTCGGTAGACATGCCTCCCAAGAAGACTGGTGGGAAGATGAAAGCCGGTGACGCGTCTCCGGCGCAAGATCCGCCGGTGTTCACGACCAGGAGTGCGAAGGCTGGGCTTCAGGTGCGCAAACAGTTCGGCATACTTTACGGAATATATGTTGATCGCCAACGCGTTTTCAGTTCCCGGTTGGCCGTATTCACCGTTACTTGAAGCTCAGGACACAGAATCAGATGCGTGTGGGCGCGAAAGCTGCCGTGTACACCTCTGCTATCTTGGAGTATCTCACGGCTGAGGTGCTTGAGCTTGCCGGTGCGTTTATGCTACCTTTGCCTCGTGTGCGCCCAAGTTGAATATCATGTTCGTGCAGGGAACGCGTCGAAGGATTTGCGCGTGAAGCGCATAACGCCTCGCCACCTACAACTCGCCATCCGGGGAGATGAAGAGCTGGATACACTTGTCCGCGCGACAATCGCGGGAGGAGGTGTGCTGCCGTTCATCCACAAGAGCTTGACGCAGGGTAAGGGCAAGAAGCCCGAGGGACAGAATGCTTAGTTTCGCGTGTGTGCATCTCGGTGTATTCGAATGATGGGATGGCTAATCTATGACTCTGTAGGAATATACCAGTCTGCTTCTCATCTGCTCTTTACGCTTGTCTGTATGTATAGTGCTCCAGAACTTTCTTGTGATGTCCAACTTGTATTCTTTTTGACGATGCCACTCATGACTTGCGGGATTCCCGTTGTGCCTGTGGACGCGGCGGAGCGTTGCCCGTCACTGTGATGTTCGAGATCGCCTGGTCGGAGAATGTTCGCATCGTGCTGCTCACGCATCACCCTGGACGTACCCAAACACATCATTCGTGTAGCGGTCATCTGACGCTGCATTGAGCCGAACTAGACTTAGGTCTCACATAAACTCGCGCTCACAATTACGACTATAGGTCAGAGATGCTCTCATAGGCTGCCTACGAATGATACTTTAGATGCCTGTGGGTGTGATAATGGTTTGAATTGAGTATTATGCCGCTCACACTCGCACTCGCATATGCTTCTGAACATCCTCTCGTCACTTAGAAGAGCGACTCTTGTTACGCGACATCCACATAGACCGTACCGCGTCCAGGACCCTTCCCAGCTCCCCATCAAGTGATATGACGCGCACGCTCAGCATGGACCATCAATTGCCCTTTGGAGAGGATTTGGAGTTCGGTACTTCAGACGGAGAGGGAAAGTGGTCATGCAGCCCGTGCGAAACATGACGTCGTGCGCCACACCAACTTATATAGGCGCCCCTCCGCCTATCCTCAATCCCTACCAATTTCACCCCATCTACACGCACCTATCAACTTGACAAACAGCCTTTACCGTTATCATGTCCTCCCAAAACTTCAACGACCAGAACACCGTTCTCGGTAACCCATCTGTCGACAACCAGCCCACCCACCATCTCCACGGTGGCGAAGAGCCCCTGCGCCCCGTCGCAGACTACAGCATCGAGGCGCTCGAGGGTCGCCCGAAGCCGCAAACGACCATCTCCGACATGTACGGCTCTGCGCCCGATGTCCATGCCGGAGAGCAGCAGCGCCACGGAAGCGAACGCGTCGAGTCTGAGATGCCGCAAGAACGTCACGCGTCCTCCACTGGCGCGAACGCGTTCAACGAAGAGCGTCCGATGGACGTTCAGCCTACGCAACAAGGTATACCTTTGTGCCCATACTCATTGGCTACCTGGGTCTGACCTCTCCGTCGTAGGTGATGTTGCCGTTGGCGGCCAGAGCGACCTGCCCCAGGGCAAGGCTTCGGCCATGGACAAAGTCATCGGAAAAACCGAGAAGGTGAGGATCATTTAGTACCATGAAGACGGACTAGTCACTGACTATTGTTCGCAGGTCATGGGCAAGGTCTTGAAGAAGCCTCAGATGCATGAAGCTGGCGAGCTCCGTGAGGCTGGCGGTAAAGCTGCTGCCCGCGGCGACGCTCGCGCTCCTCACGACTAAGCTATTCAAGGCCCTTTACGGACTTCACGATCATCACGCTATGCTGTACAATATATACCTGAACCCACTTGATCAATAATGTGTACTTTTACCTGCTATATGTCGCTATCTCAATTGCGTGATCCTAGCTCCACAGCCGCACAGCGACAGTACATAACAACTGCACAACCGGAACTGCGCAAGAAGTATACGGCGTCTTCAGGCCGCGCCCTGGACTTCTGGGGGATGCTTTCTATCTGCTAGTGGCCTCTCGACCCTTGCAAGGAGGCGGACGTTCCGGACATACGCCTTATTTTAGCCTATTCGGCGGCGATAGACGTTCCTCGCTCGCGCAGCGGGCGGTCCGCCAAGACGAACACGATCACGCGGGGTTCTTGATGGGATAGCGTTCACGCGCCTTCTTTGCCTCCCCTGCTGCCTTCACCAAATGCCACCATGTTTCCACTGCGATCTTCCGTTCCGCACGGTCGTCCATGTTACTATCGCGTTCCTCGGACTTACCTTTGACAGCGCACGCATGAACGTGTCTTGTGTACGGAAGTTCGAAGCGTACGCGTATATAAAGCTCGGGGATTGATGGCGCATGAACCCCGCGCTGCTTTATCGTCGCCCGTGGCCCGTACGCGCCGAACATGCTCGGCTCGACGACGTTGCTCGTCTTTGGTCTCATAGCGGCGGCCGACGCCGCCCTGTACGATTCTCTGTCCGCCGGCGGGAAGAAAGTGTTCGACGATGCTATGACCGTTAACGAGATGTACTACGACCCCGTCGAGGGCTATGTCTATGGCATTGACGTCGCGGGCATACACGACACACGCGCGAGCGCTATGTGGGCCGTCGGCCTGCTCGCGAGGAACGGAGGGAATGGCGACGATGTGGAGAGGGCCGTGAGGATCATTGAGAGCGTGGCGAGCCAGCAATATGTGGATAACGCAACGGCGGCTTGGTACGGGACGTATCCGCACACCCCGCAGGACCCATTGCCTGGCACGTCCTTGCTGGGTACCACGCCCTACTCCTCGTACGATCCTAATTGGTAAGTGAGGCCTCTCATGAGATCCACAAACGGTATTGACATGAATTGCAGGCGCGACTTCATTGGATCAGCCTGGCTGCTTGCCTTGGAAGAGAGCGGCAATTTGCTCTCCAACGACACTGTCACTGCCATTGAGCAGTCGCTCTACCAGTGAGCCTCATTGCTTGCATCATTTCTCCTGTCACTGACCCTGAAGCAGTGTAGGCAAGGGCCAACTATTACGGTATCAGGGTCGCGGAGAGTACGCAAACTCGGTGGATGTCGATACCAGCGTGGATAACCTGGACGCGGCGTATACAAACCCGTGGCTCATGGGCACCATCGTGATGAGGTTCGTAGTTCTCCACCATCTCGAAGAACACCTGCTAACTTGTGCAATAGCTATATCGGAAACAAGATGAACGATACCGAGCTTATCAACAAAGCGAACGATGACGCTCAAGCAATCTACGATCTTTTCACGTTCAACGACTTCAACACGTTCTCGGAGTACAACTGCCCTACCTATACTGGCGTGGATATCTTCGCGCTGGCTCTTTGGATCCGCTATGGCCCGGAGGGGACAAAGTTGCAGGAGTACGGGACGTACATGTTGAACCACACTATTGCGGACCTCGCGGACTTCTATCATGCCGACCTGCGCAACCTTGCAGGTCCTTGGGATAGGTGAGTTATTCGCTCTAAGAATAGTATTTGCATAGGCTGATAACGTCCTTCTTTTGTATGTAGGACGTATGGCTTCGACATGACGCGCTACCACTCCATCCTCGGTCAACTGATCTCCTCCCTCCTTCCCGCCGAAAAGATCGCGGTTCCCTCACCGATCCTCACCGGCTTGCACATGAACGACGCAGTCTGCTTCGGCACTATCATGCCGCTCATCGCCGACACCATCCATAGCGTCGTCGGCCAGGACGTCATCGACCGCTTCGCGAGCTTCGACTCGTCTGTCGAGCGCGATGTCGTGTATAGGCAGGTCAGGACGAACACGGAGGACGAGACTGCTATCAGGAATGTCTCTGTCTGGCTTGGGCCGAACGTGACTATTGGTGGACAGTCGGTGAGTGAAGCGCGACCTTAATATATGACAGCGTGTGCTAACTAGACGCATAGTCGGACGAGCCTTCGCCGCGTCAAAGCTCGTACGTACCAGGCGTAATCCAATGGCTCCTCCCATCCACCCTCTACCCCAACGCGAGAATCTCGTCCTCAACTCCTCCCAAGGTCGGCTACATCGCCATCAGCCCCCCGCCCTCTGGCACCATCAACGCCACGGCCTCAGCCAATACGCTCACAATCTCTCTGCCCCTCTCCGAGCGCTGGGGCGACTGCACGCTCCCGACCTCTATCAGTTTCGCTGTGGGCGGATTCGATGAGAGGACGAGTGGCGCGGATATGACGAAGGGGTTGGAGGGCGTTCCGGGGCTGAATGTTACAGTCGAGACGGTTGGCCTTGGGGAGCAGGCGACTACGTATGATCAGGACGGAGACAAGTGAGCACTATATTCTCCTCTGCTTGCTAGCCGGCTCCGACGCGCGTTGACAGCGACTTCTACTTCTTCGACGTCACATATCCCGTGTCGAGTGAATGGCCCACCGTACCTTCCATCACTATCACGGTGCAGCCTGTGTAAGGTCGTGACGACGGAGACGATTGACGATTGAAGATGATCATTGTACGAACGAAGAGGTTGACATGGATGTAAAACACACTACTGCCACTACAATCTAGATACCGGGAGCAGACCAGGGCTGCTGTGCACCCTCATCTGTGTTCACTACCACCGTTTCGTTTGCGTGAAGGGAGTCGGCCGGAGCGTACCACCACAGCGTGGTGACGCCGACTGGGAAAGTGTATACAGCCTGCATCAAGGCTCTCAGTGTACGGTCCTCCTCTGCGAGTTTTTTTGGGAATCATACCTGGGTACCTCTGAACTCGATCGTGGTCTGGATAGGAACTGGATTCCATGTCGACGACGCATTGTCGTCCCTGCGCAGGATCAGACATGAGATCATCGATTGACGCTCGGGATGTAGGAGCGCGATGAACGTACCAGTTCAGGACGACCAACGAGTACCGCAACCAGTCCGTCGAGGACACACGATGCGTCACGTACGCCCCGACACGCAAGCCCCATGCCAAGTTGCCGCCAACCGTAACACCGAGGCGAATACCGAAAGGCCCACCAGCGTCACGGGGGAGGATGCCTCGGGAGGCTTGCGCCATGGCATAGTCTGCGTTGAACGTCAACATCTCATCTATGACGCCTAGTCTACATACTCACACTCCTGGTGCAGGGTGTACGTCCCGTCAGTGTTCACTGTCACGATCGGACGACAGCCAGGACCCCCGCAACTTGTTGTACCTGGGAGTTTAGGGTTGCCAGATCCATCTCTGCGATAGCAGAAGATCAGTGCTTGAGTGCCCACGGAGAAGAGGAGGCTCACAGAGCAATGTTCCACATCATGGCGTTGTGGCTGTTGTACTGGGGTGCACCAATCATGCTGTTGAATCGTGTCAAGAGTAGGTCGAGACGTGGGAGTGGCGCTTACAGCTGGTCCATGTACCACTGACAAGCCTGTGAGCTCCCCGAACAACGATATGTGGTTGGAGATCTCGGCGTACCTTGATGTCAGACCACCAGTCCGTTCCATAGGTGCCCGAGCACTCGGTGAAGTATATTTCCTTCGACGGATAAGCCGTGTGGAAGCTTTGCTGGGCAGACACATCTCCGCTGTAGCAATGGAATTGCACGCCTGCGAAAGCGTCGCCAGCTTGTTGCATCTGGGTTCATGTGCTTAGCTCACAGCGCCCAGGCGGATTTCGATATCAATGTGGCCTCACAAGCTGTACGGGGTATCCTGCAGCATCTTTCCAGTTATGGTCGTACCCGAGGACGCGCACGGATGAGAGACCGTTGTTGTTCAGGAGCGTGCGTAGAGCGGTGCCGATCTGAGCCATGATGTTCACGGGCATCTTGCATGTTCTTCGAGCAGGATACAACCTTAGCGAGCGAGAGAGGAAGAAGGGAAGTAAGCACATACGGATAGCTATCGTTTTCGTTCTCCGGTTCGTTCTGGTGATACATATCAGCACATGTACCCACATGTAGTACTAGACTGACCTGTATGGACACTCCGTATACGCTGATGCCTTTGCTCTCGAAGCCCTGCACGGCCTTGAGGAAGTAAGTGGCGTCTGTTCATCTCATCACTAAGTTGCCTTTTGGGTGTGAACACGGCATAAGCGTACATTGAGTAGCATACTGCGTCTTCAATGCACCACCATTCATGGTGCCACTGTCCTTCATCCATGCGGGTGGAGACCAGGGAGCGATGATGACGCGCAGGTACCTGTTGATGGCCTTGATATCGGAGAGAATGTCAAAGACGTCCGATGGCTGGTTGTTGATATTGAACTGGTTGAAGCTGGTGTCACCGCTGGTGTCGTCGAGGCTGTAGTCTGTGCAATGGGGCCTGATGAACATCTCACGGACATCATGGAACCTTCCGATATACCTTTAGCCGAGAAGTCCGAAGCGCCGATGGGTACGCGGACAAAAGAGAGTCCCGCGGCTTGGGCGCCATCCGTTGCTAGAGACCGGATAGTCAGATGAGGCTCTATGAAACCGTGGGAGAGCCTACGATCGAAGAGGGTGTTCATGAGTGTATTGTACTGTGTCCGATGATTCGTCTTAAGGGCCGTCAGAATGGAAGCAGAGGAGTCGGCTACATCATCTTTATCGTCAGCGGCCGTGTCTAGGGGAAGCGGAGGATGCGTACTCAGAGAGCCGCCATAGCCCCAGACAGACTGGTATGTCTGAGTGTCGTCTACAACAATGTCGGCACTACCGATGACGGACGGCGAGCCGAAGTTGATAGGCTCAGACATGGGTAAACGGCCGTAGGCTGAAGTGACCCGGTATCAGTAGAGTACGACGAAGCGAAGCGTAGGACGACGAACCCGGAGAGCGATCCCATGTTGTTTGCCACTAGAAGACGGTGAAATACGTTGTTAGAAGGCTCCGAAGCGTACTGTGGCGGTACTGACGATGTCCCAAATCTGGTATTGCGCGAGCACGACGCTCGTATACACGCTCAAGCAACCGAGGGTGGCCAAGCGCATGGTATGTGTCAGGGCCAGAGGTTGGTTGGTTCTGGAGCTGCTTGGCCTATCGCCTTTATACGAGGCTAGATGAAATCAGCATTCTCACCCGCATGCCGCAACACCAGAGCGTGTTGCGAGAGGGATCTTCAAGAGGTATGCAGACCGTGCCGCCTGACATTCGACATGCCGCGAGAAGCTCGGTCGAAGATCACGAAGCGGCTCACCAGGGGCACAGAACCTCACATGCTACTGCCAGCGGTAGCGCACAGTACTCAGTGATGGAGGGTCGAAGCGTACACTGTGAGTAAACCATGTAGACTATTCGACGGTTGTGTCCGCATATGACGCTCGGCGCATGATGTTGCAGTAGTCAGTGTGAGTGTTGAAGACCACATTAGACAGTATCGGGATAGGATACGGAGTGATAGCACTCCACGCCATGCCAATCTGAGGTCACTGTGGTCGTCGAGGGTGCGATTTAGGGGATGGCATATGGTCGAACCGCCGGCTGCTCACGAGTCGTTGAGGTGACCAAAGGCGCTCTAGGGCTCCCGAACCTTATCCTAGAGAGTAGGTGTTCCGTTCTTCAGCTATGCACATGTTCAAGCCTTCATAGGTAGTTTGGCCGGGCTAGTATACCACTCAGTTACCCACGACATGGAGGTGAGAGGCAGGCACTTCTCCACCCCACTGACGCGAATAACTTCAATTAGCCTATTTCGCCACGTTTTGAACAATGACATCACATACGTGTTCGCTTGCCTGCATACGCGCCGCGCAGCCGCGTATCCCACCTCTCCTTCAACTTCCATCCCCCTCCTGCTCTCCGACATCTACAAGAAAATATGACGATCTAGTAAGCTTCATCATTAACCGTGCATGATCTTGAGCTGAATATAATATCAGTTACACGCTCACCTTCATGCTCCTGGCGGCCGAGATGGCCACCTTCGTGCTCTTCGTCGCCCCTCTACCGTTCGCAGTCCGGAAACGGTTCTTCGGTTTCCTTGCGAGCAGTCCTATCATTGCCAAACTCGCATACGGGTTGAAGATATCATTCATGTGGGTGCCAAATCTTCGCCTGACAGACGCGATGATTGATGTGGTCGCGTGCGCGTAGATTCATCGCCATTCTATTCGTGGATGCGCTTCAACGCATGTTCCGGGTGGCGACCGAAGTTGAAGCAGCAAAATCAGGACAAGGAATGCAGGATGTCCGCACCGAGACCAACTTCGCCGCACGTAAATTCTAGTACGTCACTCATCGCTTACTCCGCTGTGGCCCTTTCCTAATTCGCGGCGTAGCGCCCAACGCAACGTGTACCTTACTGGGTTCTGCCTCTTCCTCTCCGTCGTACTCACCCGGGTATTCTACATCATCCAAGACCTCATCCACACCCAGGATGAGTACGCAAAGCTGAAGAAGGCGGTACGTAGACGCACGTTGTTGGCACGCGCCCTGGCTGACATGATGACAGACTGCTGGAAACACGCGGGAGACGGGCGATGCTAGCAAGCAAATTGAGGATCTGAAGAAGCAGCTTGCTGAGAAGGACAGGAAGATCCGCGATTTTGGTCCGTGTTTGCAACCGTCGAGAGCCTGCGCATGCTCATCGTTACATAGACACGCTCAAGAAGCAGGCGAACCAGCAGGCTGCGGAGTACGACAGGCTCGCCGAACAATATAACAAGGAGACTGGCAAGACCTCCAACAAGCGCAAGGACTAAAATATGACGTGTGGACACTGGATCTATCATCTCATCACCGCAACTCCGAATATAGTACTCTTGTAAAGCATTCTGAACGCCCGCAATTCGATTGTACACTACCCTCGTCATACTCATCTATGCACTCGGTGCTGTGCTTGCTCAAATCATCTTGTTGACCAGTATGTCTATGCCCTAGCGCAGAAGGATCTCCGCATTTTATGGCCGCAGAGCTGTGACGGGATCACCGTTACACCGTTCCACGGGTCACCCGTTTACCTAGAGCGTGCGTAGGTCGATGCTCTCCGACGGCTGTGTGAGAAGCGCCGGGGGCGCCTGTTGAGTATCCACTTCTGACGCATATAAAACACTCGAACTCAGATGCATGCAACTCATCCCACAGGTCCCGACTTTCTTCTTACATTGACATGGCTTCTGAAACTTACCGTCGCGCCATCCCACCCGAGCGTACTCAAGGCCCCCAGCCCACTTCCAAGGTCTCCGAACGCACCATCTTCAACAACTGCTGGATCTCGTACGGGCTGCCTTTCCACGAGGCTGTGGCGAAGCATGTTGCGAACACCTTCGGTGCTTCGCGTGCCTACATCCTATCTTCGCGTACTCTAGCCAACACCACGAGTGCCCTGCGTGACCTCGAAGCGGCTCTCGAAGGTCGCGTCGCTGGCGTGAAGATGGGACTGAAGGCGCACACGTCCTGGGATGATATTCTTTCGATGAAACGCGAGTGCGAGAAGGCGAAGGTCGACGTCATCATCACTCTGGGCGGTGGATCACTTACAGACGCCGCGAAGATGTTGAGTCTGGTTAGTCCTCTATCTACTCTCTAGACACCTACGTACGCTGACGAAGATTGACACTCAAGGTACTGGCGAACGACGTCAACGAGCCCGCAGACTTTCTTGCGAAACTCGACGTCGCAAAGCCCGATGCGCTAAGCAAGTCCGACGGCTTCGTCTTCACGGCAAAGCCGCCTCAAGTCCCGGTGATATGCGTACCCACGACTCTCTCGGCCGGAGAATACACCTTCGCAGCCGGAGCGACAGAAGACGCTACGAACAAGAAGTACCAGTTCCTCACTGGCGAGGCAATCAAGCTCTTGGTCCTCGACGCCGCGCTTGCTGCGCGTACCACGCCGTCGAACCTCTGGATCATGTCTGGCTTTCGAGCTATCGATCACGCTACCGAAGGCTACGTCTCGACGCTCGCAAATGCGGCTACCGAGGACCACGCCATAGCAGCGCTAAAGATGCTTATACCGAGTCTCCTGCGAGCCCACGCAGACGAGCGTGGCGAGGATATCGAGGCGCGTCACCTCGGTCAAATGGGCGCCATCGAGGCCATCGCGTCCGTCTTTCGCATCTACACGCCCTGCGGCGCTTCGCATGCAATCGGGCATATGCTGGGCCCCTTCAACGTAGGCCACGGAGAGACTAGCGCCATTCTTTTACCGGCAGTATGCACTTACAACGCGGCGCGTGGTGCGAATACCGAGAGGCAGCGCGCGCTTGTGGACGTCTTGTGGGACGTGGAGGAGGTTCGCGCTCTTATGTCGAAGGCTGGTCTTGACAAGGATATAGGACTTGGCGCATTGCTACGAGCGCTCACACGCGAGTTGGGTTTACCGACATCTCTCAAGGAGGTGGGCGTTGTCGGCGAGAGGGTCGACCAGCTCGCGGAGTTCAGTCTGATAGACCCGTGGATCGTGACCAACCCTGTACCTCTACGCGAGAAGAAGCAGGTGCTTGAGCTTCTGCAGCCTGCGATCGGGTAGACCGCCTTTACGTAGTCTCACGCGTCACGCCCCGAATGAATAACCTCACTTGCTATAGACCTTACGCTACACAATATAGCTCATGTCTGTTTCAGCCGTCTGCAGCGAAGTTTGTGCCTTCCATTATACCAATCCCTAGACACACCAGTCAGTTACAAGGGTCTCACGTTGACACCTACGGCCACTCACTTGCGTTGACAGCTCTTGGAGCAATACCGCTTGAACACCGTCAGCATCGATCTCAAAGGATAGATGACCATAAATACTCACGACTTCCCCGCATCCCTTGCACGCCAGAAGGTTTGGAGGAGGACTGCCGTGATACTGACAATCGGCCCACGAACAGAATCGCGCATCTCTTTTGACCTTATGGTCGTGATCCTTCTTCGCCTGCGCTTCATCCATCCCCACGACCTCTCCAAAGGTTTTCCAGGCCGACACTAGGCTCGTGTATTTGGCACGATGATTACTTAAGATGAGCGTCTGCACGTCGCGTATGTGTAACAACGTCGGATACCACTCGCGGCGCATTGCTTGGCGAAGGATCTTTCGAAGGTTGTTCTTTCCGGCTCGCATGTTGACGGCTTGCGCGATGGTGGAGAACCTCTTCAACGAGAGTATACAGGAATCTGCAGCGTACACGTTAGCTCAACAAGCAATCTCAGAACACAAGACAAGAAGCTTACCATATGCGTCTCTTTGCTCGACGGCGCTGGAATCGGGTTCCGTAGACCGCAAATGAGCGGCAAGGCGCGTCCCTCGCGCCAGAAGTTCGACAATCGCACAATCGCGAATGACATACGCAGCACCATCCGCTGCAGGCAACAGTGCAGATACGAATCTGGAGACGCCTTTTAGTCACCGCGTGGTAACGACAAGGAAGAATCACTCACTGGGCAATAAGCATGAAATCGACCGTAGTCAACCATTGAAACCCATCTTCCCCGTGCAATGCTTGTCGTTCGACTGCATCGCGGAGCCCAGTGAGAATCCCAGAGGCTGCCGCGCGTGGCAGTATCTGCGGGTGCGGAAACCATTTCTCTATGTTCTGCAAGAAGAGAAAGAGGAAGCGATCGCGTAACAGAGGTTGCCGGATCGTAGCGTCCACACGCCGAAGGAAGTTCTCTAGTCCATATACTTCGATGATGTCGTGTTGCGTGAATAGCCAAGCGACCCTGTGAGAATTGTAATTCGGATTAACGGGCTCGGGCTCTAGATCGTCGTCGTCTAGTAGAGGTCCAGTGGTTGTTTGCTCTTCGGCGGACCTAGGTGGAAGATGCCGAAAGGCGTTGGAGAAGTTGATATCGGCGCTTGCCGAGTCTGGGGAGTGATACCAACAGAGGATAACCAAGCGGCTGTAATCCATGCATGCATCGGACGTTTCTCTGCAGGCATCGATGAGCGACTGGGACAAACGGGCTTCGTGAACCTGGACATCATGCACTCACATGATACAGGGGTACATGAGCGGCAAGAAGCTGAGCATACGCATACGGAGTGCCTTTGCCCATCCGATGCAGTAGCCATCCGAGCGGCCACCATCGACAAATATCCCGCGGTGTGCCCAGGCCGACGTTGCTAGTACACCTACGAGATGTACGAGTTCTGGATGTCGAGTGATGGTGCGATCGCCAGTAGAGCGGGCGATACTCGCTGCAGCAAGATGGATCCCGTCGATGATGGTAAGGATGGCGTAGATCAGGCTCTTTCGCGCTGTAAGACTTGGGGGTGCATGACTGGAAGGGCGGGGAACACACCGGATGTTGGTCGTAGAACCAGTAATTGCGTTGAGAGATGACTGCCTCGCAAAAATCGGAGGCGCCACCTGTACCAAGAATCTCGCGAGGTATTATATCATGATTGAAAGCGGCCTCGGAGATGACCTGTGCCAAGACGACAAACGCATCTGCACCACCACTGGATAGGTTGTTGTAGGAACGAGTCCACACTGTGAATGCCTCATTGACGTCGGTGTTGAGTAGGTTTCGATACTGTTCCAGAGTATCTGTCGGGATCTCGCTAGCGGGTGTGACGATAGGGTCGTTCATGGCCTCGGTTGCAATCCGCACGCTGCCACGATACGTGCTCAGATCCAGAGGTTCATCCATAGCTATGACGCAGGCGTAGAGGTTCTGGGCGTCGTTATTGAGGAAGCAGGGCTGGAGGACAGTCTTGTCCGGTGATAGTGGCGGATAAGGATGGAGTAGCACGCGGCCTCGATAGCGCGACGACGGGCCAGGTACGGCAGGCGGGAGCTAACCAAGCCAATTTCCTTGCGCGTTGATAGCAGTAAGCTCAAGATGCAAGAGCACCACTGTGCAGTCTGTTGGGCAGATCTGGGCAGCATCACTTGCGCTGGGGTACTTGGAAAGAGTTGAGCGCTATCAGTCGGAAAAGAGGAAGCAACATTGCAGGCGGGGGCAAGGCGGGGGTCATTGCATGACCGTGAAGGTAGACGTCGCAATGAGCGACAGCGGATGTGCAAATACTGCTTCAAGAATTGTGGTATTTATTGCCAGGCGATGGGTGGTGGACGTCTGCTACAGAGTCCTTTTTTTCCCAGAAAGCGTAGAGCAAACTCAACCGCGACGTCACACATCAGTCACCGGCACAGGGTCACTGTAACTTTTCGACGATTCATATTTTGCCCTTCCTCTTCAAACCATCGTCCGGCGTATGCACTTCATTAGGAGAAAACCTATAGACATCCCAGCCCAATGACGGTAGTGGTGGTCCGCCATCATGAGCTGTGGCGGCCATCCGCTCGGGCCGGCTGCCCCGATCAAAACCTTCTCACGACGGCACTGGATGCGCGTCTCTGGTCTTGTCTACCATATTCGTCGCTCGAAGAGGTCCCATAGCCTGATGATATTTCTTTCTTGCTCGGCATGTCTAAGGGGCTGGCAAGAGCCCACCATGTTGTTGGCTTTTACAACGCTGGAGGCGCTTGACATTGGAGCGCTCGGAAGTCTCATGTCATTCCCAGTCCGACTGTTACCGGCTGATATTCAGATGCATTCGGAGCTGGACTGACAGTTGCCCTGAAGTATGGAGCACCAGCTATGCACATGTTTTGGACTGGACTGGACGTGCTCCCCGTAGAGGAAATGCTTAAAGGAATGCGAGTCATAGCAGTATCAGACCACCGCGCCATCCGCGTACCCTTGCTACAAGCCGCCGCAAAGAGCTACACATCTACCCATCTTCCCCACCAGCCATGCTGTACGAAAGCGCCTCGGATGTCGGTGTGTATACTCGCGCAGTTTCCAGACGATCACCTACTTATGTCGAGTCTACAGCCATCCACTCTCCCCGCCTCCCCGTATCCCTATCCTCGCCAATCTTGACTTCAAGCCCATCCTCGCACGCGCTTTGCTTCCTCGCCCGTCCAATCCCAACATATCCCTCCGCGCCCTCATCTCCAGTCCCACCGTCACCCGATACACCCTTATTCGCCGAACAACAGCAGCCCCCACCACAGCCCAACCCGTCCGTATGGGTGACGCCGAGTAGCCCTCACACCTTCCGCGCGTTCAGGCTGGAATTTGGCTCGCCGCCGGGACTTGGGCTGGGAGTTGGTCCACCGCCAGCGTCGCTCGCGACGTTCCAGCCTCCATCGCGCTCGGAAGCACGCCGCATCTTCTCAGGCGGTTCAAGCGGCACGGCAACACCTCGTCCAACCTTCGCGGACGTCGACTTCGCCGCTCGCAGACCCTCCTCAACTCCCCGCGGTCGCACCAACTCCATCAAGCGTCCAGGCTCGCACGACAAATCGCGCCTTCCGCGCCAACGCGCCTTCGTCCTGAGTCCTACGCCCAACTCGCCCTCTCCGCGCGTGTCTTCGCCCGCTGTACCGGCGAATGAGAGGTTGAAGGATTTCAGGGCGTTGGTAGCGAAGATGCGGACGAGTACAAGTTTTGGGAGTTCGGGGAGCCAAGTTTTCAGTCGGGAGGGCAACGATTCGGATTGGACGGATGAGAGCGAGGACGAGGATGAGTTGGCTGAGGAGGACGAAGGGGTGGAGATTGATATGAAGGGAAGGCATCATGCGAAGTTCTTCTGCTGAGCGTTGGTCTCCTGCAAGTATACTTGCCCTTGTTGTCGATGTTGTCGAATGTGCTATTTGCAGTCCTCGTTCGCGAACTACGTCAGGAGATGCGACTCTCGGCCAGTACTGGGGACGATGGACATGAATACTACAAGCGCAAAGAAGTTGTAGAATCGCATGGCAGGCGCCTGACGCTGACGCGTACGATGTAATGGCCTGGCCATTCTGAACACGGTTCAGCATACGGAAGTTGCTACAACCCGACTGCGTTATGCAGAGCTCAGTTATTGCGCGAGGGTAATATATAATGTGTTCCCCTATGATACGCAAACCATTTTTGGCGCGCTGGTAAACACATTGATAATAGCTGGCGTCTCGTACGCTACAGTACGCCCATAAGTGAATTTCATAATGATTGTGGTGGTTGAGAAGAAGCCGCGCCGTGCCGATCAGGAACGTTTGATCTACAGCCCTCCGTTTTCCCAGCCCTCTCCGCTTCCTCCAGTACTCCTACTAGCCAAAAATTATCCCCCCTACTTCCTACAGAACATGCTCTCGTCCAACTGTACCGTCGCTCCAGCATACGTATCCCGCTACTATCGCCAGGCACCATCTTCTTGACATCGGCAAACACCGCCAATATCCGACGAGCGTCTAACATGCTGCATTAGTGCCAAGGGCAGTGCTCGAGCGCCCATCTAGGTTCCCCGTCGGCGTAGTGCGCCTCCCGGGCTCTGCCTCCCACCACGACCATGTCCAGCTACGAGCCCAAGCCGGGCACGTACGACGAGCGACTGCTGGCCGAGGCCCCACAGGCGACGCGCGCGGCGAAACAGGTCAGTTCAACGCTCGGTTCAGGCTGGTGATGGCTATATCCGGTATATCAGCTATCAATAGCCATATCCGAAGCCTATCATCGCTTGTCCTCGTCTTCAGATGAACATATTCGCTTACTAGTCGAATAGGAAGGATACAACGTCGATCTACTGAACCAGCCACACCCTGCCGGAGGCTCGTCGAACAGCCTGCAAGACCCGGTGCCCGCGCAAGCCGTAACGCCGAATAGAAATGCGTATACGCCACCCACACCCGCCGACGCCGACGCCGTGCCACAGCTATATCCCAGTCGCAAGACACCGTGGTACCGCACCACGCGTGGCATCATCATCCTCGCCGTCGTAGCTCTCGTCATCATCGGCGCCGTCGTCGGAGGCGCTGTCGGCGGCACCGTGGGCAAAAGCAAGAGCAACAACTCGGCTGTCCCGAACCCCTCGAGCTCGAGCTCGGCCACTGCGAGTGCACCTTCGTCGAACCCGTCAGATAATGGACTTGGACAGGGCGCCGGGAGTACCCCAGCCGCAACTGTCGCTCAGCAGGCAGGAAGCACCTCCGCTTCCGCGTCAAGTTCGACCGCGTCTGGCACTGATGCCTTGGAGACGGGTGGGCCACAGAGACGGCGCAATCGGAGGCGTATCTGAAGTCAAGTGGGAGGAATGCTCAGGGTCTGCCATCACTATATCTGCTATCTATCTATGCTGCACATCTACTTTTGGTCCTAATCGTGACGATTTGCTCAGAACCTATACTTCAGAGCGTACCCTTTACCTAGGTATCTGACCTTGCTTCGGTGAGCCATAGAGTGGTTGTTCAGCTCTAGGTCCCCGTACACGCTCAGATCATGTGTGCCTTCGCTGTCGCCACTAACCTGCAGCAAGGTATCTCACTTTCCTATCGAGCAGACTTCGTGTACTTGCGACTTTGAATCGACTACGATTGACTGAAACTTGTCAATCTTTCAAGTTCTGCCTAGCCATACCACGATAGTTGCCCTTTACCATCAAGCGCCAGCGTCTCATCTGCACTTGTCAAACGCAAGGGAACTGTGGCGCGACAGGCGCAAGCCACGACATACCTTCCCATTCTCCCCATCTACATCCAAGACCCCATAGATCCCAATGCAGATCGTTCGTGAAGCTAGAAGATATAAGACGACCATGCAAGCGGTGTATATCTTGCGTAATGGCCAGAGGTTCGCCCTCCTTCCGTTTTCAGCCATTCGTGGATCCTCTCAGCTACCTCCTGTCGCCTTCTCTTCCTCGGCAGGTCGTTCTAGGTCACATTCACGTCTAATCCTTCACGGAGCCTTCATCTCCTCAAGCGCTCTGACGTCTATTTCATTGAGATAACCACGCCCCGCCCATATCTTTCCATCCCTTCTCCGACCTCGATCGCCCACGCGCAGGAAACCGCACTTCTCGCGCGCACATAGCTCACATCACTCCCATCGACATCGACCCGGTGATGATCGAACAAGCCCACCCGCAGTTCAAGCCCACATATCCGAACACACTACGTATACACACAGCGACGATTACTGATTAAGCATCGCAGATCCCCGTGCAATACTAGCGTGTCCACCCGTACACGTCGACTCGACGCCTCACTGATGTCCTCAAAGTGCTAGGATCAATCAAGCATAACAGTCCCGGGCCCTATCCACCATCTCGCAAATAGTAAGCACAAGTCGGCATCAGCTCAAGTCCGACGAACATGGTTCAGGTCTCCGAGAACCGCGGGCCTTGGACTAACCGCTGTGGCTTTGGGATGTCATGTTGGGCGCGCGCGTGGACGACGGCGGGCGGGTTATTGCTGTGTGTGCTTGGTGTTGGGCGCCAGGCGGTACGCTTGGGCGTTTCTTTGATGACTGTATGTAGGCCAAGGCAGGGTCTACTTGGAAGCTGTGATCTCGCTACACACGAGTCCTGCAGAGTCACGAGTCGACTGAGTAAAGCCACGGCCCACTGGCCAAACACCGGAATCACGCAAGGTTGTTAGGCATATGCATAATCGCAATTGTATCCAAGTGCATCGTAACGACAGTGCTGGTTTCGAGTCCGAGAGCCGATTATAAAGACAATAAAGTATACGTCATTCGATTCGAGGAGGAGGAAAGTGCATGATGGATAAAAACAGAGCGAGCTATGCGAAAACTTGTTTTGCAGTGGTGGAAAGCGGCTTGTGATGGAAGTATGCGTGGGGAAATACGGATTGCGATGGATGAGGGAAATCGAAAGGGAAAAGTATATTAGAATCAAAAACCGAGAGGTGGGGAGGAGGGTTGAATTAAGAGGTAGGTATTACGGAGCCGGGTATGGCGAGTGCGGTATCGTAAAACAAATAGAAGTCCATCCTAGTCGGAGAGTATACAGCGTCGGAGAGAAGCAAGCGAGAGAAAGAGCAATTATGGCCGAAATCCAAGCGCGCAAGCGGCGAAGCACAAAGAGGGCGAAGAGGTAAGCGGTAGTAAAGTAAAACACAGAAGGGTAGAAGCCATGCAATGGTGCGAAACGAAAAATGGGCCAAAGAAGCGTTTGAAGAAAATGAAGTAAGAAATATAATGAAGAAGAGCGTGGATGAAGGTACGAAACAGTTGATGCAGATTATGAACACACGGGGCAAGGATCGGAGGTGGATAGGCAGGCTACAGACATTTGGAAGGCAAAGCGGAGCGGAGAAGCGAGTAGAGGCACACGAGGACAGCGAACAGCGAAACACAGAACACGGTATTAGAGGCGTGCTAAAGTAGGCCGAGACGAATTATATGTCGAGATTCCGAGAATTGGTGCTTCCTGCGGTCGACGACCAGATGTTGTTGATGTTGATACGGACGGATGTTGATGGCGGGCGGAGTCTACATGACCATTCCACTCTCGTAGAAGCCCTGCGAACCCTGCTCGAAGTACCCTGGTTGCGTAGCCGTCGCGGGCGCTGATGTACCCGTCGGGACCGGGTAGCCATACTGCACCGGCGCAGCTTGTCCCTCGTACTCGTACGCGGGGCCAGCGCTCGATTGAACCTCGTAACCGCCCGCGCTCTCATACGAAGAAGGGCCAGGAACCGAGACGGGCGCGTAGGCGAACTCGCTACCCAACGGAACGCTGTAGCCGGCCGGACTGCTCCTGCTCGAGCTGATGCCCTCGGCGCCTGCGGCGTAAGCCGCAGCGTAAGGATGGAAACCGGTGCTAGGGCGCGTGATTGTCGGCGTCGCGCTACGGTGTCTCCTTATGGGGCCGCTTGAAGGCTCAAGCCCGTACACCGGCACGGACTGCGCGTGGCTGGGGTACAGTGGAGCGGAGTACGGCGCAGGTGACGCGGTGTACGACTGACTTTGAGCGTGACCGTAAGGCGGGGGCGAAGGCTGCGAGTACGGAGCTGGTGAACCCGTGTTGGTTGTAGATCCCCAGTTGGAAGGCATCGTGAAGAACTCCGGCTGAGCGCTTGGCGGCGGCGTAAGACCACCCTCGCCAATCTCCCTGTCGCCAAGGTGCATTTCGATGGATCGAATAGCACCCATGTCAAGGAGCTCGTCGTCCTCACCGCCCTCCGAGTCGAGATGAGCGTTGATCAGGCCAAGGCCGTTATCAGAGCGTTCATGTACGCGGAGATGTTGGCGAAGGTTGTCCTGACGCGCGAAACGCTTCGGGCAACGTTGACAAGGGAAAGGACGCTCGAGCGTATGTGTGCGGACGTGGCGAGTCAGGTGCTCCATGCGCTTGAACAGGCGGGCACATGTAAAGAGCGGGCACTGGTACGCTCGGATCATGCCTGGCGCCGTCGTGGACGAAGAAGGCGCGGGAGCATATGCCGCGTTGGACTGTAGACCTGAAGGTACACGAGGAGCGTATATGGGGAAAGAGTGGCCACGCGTAGGCAACGAGTCGAGAGCAGGGAGATAGCGCGGCCTGCTCTGGCTCTGAGTCGGGGCCTCCGCACGAGGGAGCGGGTTAGCCTGAGCGAGGAACTGGTCGCCTGCACTGAGATTCAAGCCAAGCGAATGTCCCACGCTTGGCCTGACCTGTGACTCGTCGAGATACCTGTGCTGCTGGTAAGCGGGAGAGCCGGGCTCAGAACGGCGAGCTTTAGGTTGACGCCGGCGCCGGGTCTTGTACGACGGTGAGCCCTCAAAAAGCGAGAACATGTGCAGGAACGCTGGGTGCGGGCCCGGTCCGCTGGAGCCGGAGGTTGAAGGAAGCTCGGCGTGTGCCGAAGAAGCGGGCGAGTTGGATGCGGAGGAGCCATCATCGGGGCCGGCAGCGTGGGAGGACTTGTTGGCGAACTGGTCAAAGAGCGTACGCTTGGGGTCATACGTGAAGCTCATCGCCGGCTCGGCGCTGACTGCCGTGGTGGGCTCGAGACCCATTTTCTCGCGCTTGAGGTCGCGCTCGAGGGCGTCCAAGAAGAGGCGGTCGTGCGGGACCGAGAACCTGCCGAGGGCGCTTAAGCATGATGACTTGCGTGGTATTCGGACAGAGGAATGCATACCAGTAAAAGACCTTTTGCTTCTTTTGTGTGCGGATGCACTGGTACTTGAAGAGAAGATCCAAAAAGGGAGACTTGGGTTCTTCCAAGCACGCGTCGACGCCCGGCTTGAGATTCCGGAGATCGGAAAAGACGCCCTCCTCGAACTTCTTCATGTTGCGAACTGGTCGGCCGAACGCCTCGAAGCGAAATACGAGTGCGCGAACAATGTCCGTGCCCGTTATGTGGTACAGGCCGCCCCAGAGAACACAGGACACGTGCTCGCCATTGGGCAGTAAGAAACGGTTGAGTGCGGGATGCTGCAACGTGGGCGGTGCCGAAGAGGATGACCAGGCGGCGGGTGCGGTGGCGAGGAAGATCTTGAGACGCTCGAGGGACGAAAGTCTGTCTACCTCCTGCGGCGTCAGCGGTCGGGTGAGCCCGCCGTAAGTGGCGAACGCGTCGAGGGCGCTCATGGCTGGCTCTACGTCCTCGTGATGGTGTGGAGGCGTATTAGTAGGTAGTAGAGAGGACGAGGACGGGAGTGAGGACGCGTCCATTGTTTGGATTGAGTTAGAGGGAAAATCGGGATTAGGAGCGGTCAGGACGGCGGTATTAAGTACTGTGTCGTAAATAAAACTAAAGAGACGGGAAGGACGGGACGAGAGTTGATGAGAAGGTCGAGATGAGCGCAGGAAGCAAGGGCCCGCCAGCACCGCCCCTTCGCGCCGAATTGACCGCTCGTCCAATTCGGTCATCCCCGCCAGGCTCTCGGTAAGCGCCTACTAAACCCACGCGCCTACGTTCTCCCCAGGGCGATCGCTGGCTCGCGGTCCATTCATTCTGATCTCTGTAACTGTGGCCCGCCCTGCCCCGCACATCCCGACGTCTCGTGCACTTCAACGATCGACACCCTCGGTGTCTCGGACGACAACAACTTGAACCTCGCAGAAAGTTCCGCGGCCAACTGCCCGCCCTGGACGCGAGGCGAGCTAAACCGCGCACAACCAAGCGCTCGCAGATCGCCGTCACCAGCTAGACCGTTGCCGTAAGGCCCACCGCAGCAGCGCTCGCCTCTCGTGGCCACATTTCGCCCTTTTCCGTCCCGCGTCCTTTCCTCGATCCGAGAGGCGCTTATCCAGCAATACGTCTCTCCTTCTCGATGGAAAGCACATTCTGTCAGGCGGCCGTAGGGCTGTTTACTCCGGATGATGGCCGGAATCTTTGGACATGAGGCGCATGAAGGAGGACGACGCCAGATAACGCGCGTAGATAATGGGGGGAATTAAATCAATTTGAGTTGGAGTCGTTTATCCGTGCGGATGAATTGTGGGCCTTCCACGCGGGGATCTGCATGCGTCCACACCGTCCAAGCCCCGCGCTCACCGCGGGTGACCGCGACCAAGCTCAGGCTCTTTCTCTTCTTCCGCCTTCCACTTGCCGGCCCTCGAGCCCACCGGTGTCCATTCGCGCAATCTTCAAAGCACTGCGAAGAGATTCAGAAGAGCACGAGGGCGCGTCACTGCCTTCTCCCGCGCGCGGCGCTCCCATGCATCATGCCATGCCAGCGTTCGCGAACACTTGTTCTCTCCTTCCGGCCGAGAGTCCACCGTCCACCCGCCGGGCTTAAACTCCATCCACACTAAGGAGACCCATCTTACCCCATTCATCCGTACAATTGTGCGCAGATCTGCGTTGCAGTGCTTTTCATCTCGGCGTGTCGATGCGCCCTCGCTGACTAGCGTGCCCAATGCTCTGCCCTGGTGAGAAGGTGCGATGCGTGCATGATCAGATCGTCATCATTAATCAACAGGGGGATTCCCCACTCTGTTCTATGTTCACAGGATGAAGATAGGGACGCCGATGGTCCACAGCTCAGCCTCCGGACTTGCCTGCGTGAGTTCCGTCTCGTTCCGCCGCGCGGACGAGCATACCGGAGCGCCAGCCATCTCACAGTCGTACAGGACCAGCCCGACAGACCTTGCCCTACTGGCTACACTCTGAACCCTACCTGAGAATTGTGGCTCGTTCGTCGGCCCGTACATACCCGCTACCCGCTGGCGCACGCCGTCCTGTCCTCTGAGCTTTCAATTCCATCGTTGCATCTCCAGTCTAAACCCATCATCAAGCTATCACCCATCTGGCATCTCCAACAACCAACAACCCACCATTCCGCCTTCCACAATCTCTCACACGGGTAGATCTCCGCGGATGTACATACTGTCCAGAACTTCCCATTCGCTCACCCGAATGACACCGACGTCTCCCTATACAGCACCGTGAGCAAAGGAAGACTCTCGGGGCCACCGCGAGTTTGACTGACAGGTGTGCGTAGTAGGCACCTCTCTTTGCTTCTTTGGGCTACACCGTCCTACCCATCCCGAGCTTCCTCAGATCCAGCGCCTTTCCGAGGAACCCTGTGGCGAAGGCCCGGGCATAATGAAAAGTGACGCGCCGTGCCGTCCTTCGGATGCGCCCACCGCGAGCTAATGCGATTGCGCACCCGCAAAGGCGCACCCCTCGTGTACGGCGCCCAAAGCCTCGGTACTAGCTTGATCTGTCTTAGAGCCTCGAGGGACAGCAAGCGCAACATCGAGTGGGGCCTGCATACCTTATCCCCATGCTTGCAGACCCTACAATGGTAGACCGGTACCGCGCGCTGCGGACACGACAGTCAGTCATGGGTTAGCAACGGGACCTACGCGTACAGGCGGAGCCGTCGGTCCGCTGCATTACTACAACGAATATAGGCGCGCGTGGACCCTGCCCTACCCGACCCGTACGCATCACACTGTACATTGTTGGGTCGCCTTCGCCGTGCACGGAGGTGCACTCCGGAACGGCGCAGATAGACGCATGGACCAGGTACTGCGGGAAGCGTCATTCGCGATACATGGATCACATAGATCACTTCAGCTGTGCAAACCAAGTCAATCCCGCATAGAGAATCGCCACATTCGGTTCTCGAATTGGGCACCCTTGTTCTCTTGTATGGCATCTCGCCCCCCAGGTGGAGCTCCAGGACTCTCGGGATGTCTAACTCTTGTGTATGATGTATGAACCAGGATTGAAAGCTTGAATGGTTCTTGTCGGTCAGATCGGAGACCTGGGGACCTCAGCGGGATACTTCCATTCAGTCGCGACTTTTCCTATAACCGACGGACGCGTAGCGAGGACTGGAAGACTTCCCGGCAGATCACGACCATCAAGACATACACATCCTATACTTGTCTACCGCGCCTGCGCGTTCGGACAGGGCACGCCGGCCTAGCTATACGGACTTCACGTTGACGGGCAGCGAGACGAACGTAGAGACGGGCTACACATGGTCCAGCAATGAACGAGCGCCACGAATACAAAGTTCCTATACTCGAGCGCCCGCCTTACGCCACCTTGTTCTCGGACACGCTAATCAATAATACGACGTCCTCATACTGAATTGGGAGGATGCCCTGCCGCCGTATTCGTCGGTGCTGTGTCCTGCTCCCGCCCGGGCCGCCGTGACCGCTGATGCGCTCTCCGAGCAGTCCGCGTTGTACACTCGGCGTTGGACCTTACCCTAAGGGCGTGCGTTAGACGGCCCTTGACGACCTACAGACGGCTCTTTGTTCCCGCCCCTCCCATGAGCCCTCGCCGTATGTCCGCCCAACGCGGGTATGTGCCGTGGAAGCGAATAGAAGGCATCATCGACAGAGAAGCTTGCCCTCAGGGCCATGCTCACGATCTTCGAGCGCTCGACAGCGACGAGATCTGAACGAGAGGTCGCCTAATTGCCTCATCCTCCTCGCCGCCGGCAATGTGCTCGCGTTCCGCCCTTCCCGACAGTCGCCGTCGCAAAGCTCTCTGATGCGTGTTATTCGACCCTTGTACGCTCGCCGAAGCGCATACAAAGCTTGCCCGAGCGCCGCACGTACAAGGGCACGCTTCGACCAGGCCGCTCCGTTTCCGCCACAACTATTCAACGACGCCACACTCCCGCTATCGCCGCTTCCGAGGTCTTCTTACCCCTGACCCTTTACGCCCTCGAACCTCGTGTACACACGACACAATGGACAACGAGGAGCATCGCCCACAACGTTATACGGGTATCCAGGCCGTACGCCCACATGAACTCTGGCGTCTGAGTATCGGTCCAGCGCCTCGTACGGACCATCGCGCTTCAACCACTCTCACCTCGGGCATCGTGCACATGCTGCTTTACAGCCTTGCAGACATGCTTCGTCCGGGGTAGCGATGGGACCGGTACCGACTCGGATGCCCTCAACATCAACGTCATGGAGGCCTCGAGCTACAACAGATCTGTACGAAGAGAGCTACAACTCTATGTGAAATGAGATCTGGCGTGCCACACCGTTCAAGCAAGCTTTTGACCAAAGCTGTCAAAGGAAGGATCGCAGTTGGGCAGCTTCAGTGACGCGTACTTTCACGCGGATGTCTCCGACCTCGAGCCCGCGATGCTTTTCTCGACGCAGTCGCGTGCTCAGGACGACCTTGGCGGAGGCATTGTACGAGGGCCGGGTACTTTGCGCGTCATGTGCGGCTTTGAAGAGATGGATGCATTGTATGCGTCGATGCGTGCGCATCTCAGCTCGGCCGTAGACCCCGTCCTGAGCACTTTCAAGTTCGACTTTACTCCGCGCGAACACCCTCAGATCTCAGGCCCATCGTCGGCCCAGTACAACGACGACCCCTTATTATTGTTCTCATCTGAGGCCTGCGTACGCTAATCAAGCGTATCCTTGCGCCCGCTCCAATACAGAACCCACGCCTAGCGGAGATGCGTTCTCGTCGTTCTAATGTAAACGCGGGACGCTGATGGATTAAACCTGGATACCGCCGAACGGGATAGAGACGTCCAAGACGGGCGGCGGCTTGCCTTTACTGTAGCAGCGAACGGTCTTCATCTACCGGATAGCTTAACACAGTACTCGGCGGCGAATGTTCGGCAGACTTCTCAGGGGCTCCTTGCCTCCGCTCAATGAAAGAATTTGAGCAGAGCCGCGCAGCGCGCCCACGGTCCTCGTGCGCGCCACTCGCCGCCGCGCTCGTCTCGTGGAAATCGAGACCACAGTTTTTCAGCCGCCTTCGTCGCCTTCATTCTGAAGTTTGCCGTCAATCTTACATGAATACGCTTCAGAATGAAGCCAAAGCCCAGTACGTCGGGTTCTGGAGGATGGA